TTCCACTTGACTTTGTTTTTCTATTTTGTATTTCCAGTTTTAAGGGTTAGGTTTTTCTTGCGTTTTCCTATTTTGCGAATAACTATATATTTGGGGAATGTTCACAATTAAAGAAACGTTATTATTTTGAAACATGTAAAAAACACATTACAATGTACAATTTATATTTTTGCTCGATACAATATTACATACTGCGTTTCTTACTTCAATTGAAAATTGCGACATTAATAATGGCATAGTCATATTGATCGAACAAAACTTCGTTTTGATTATAGCCAATTACTAAAAATTCATTGATTTATTAGATAGACCTTTGCTTTGTTTTTAATACTACCGTAGGCCTGGCAAGCAGATGTAATCATGAAACTAATCCCTTAGGGCTCTTCCAGGATCTCGGCGTTCCCGGCCAATACACACTTCCTTCCCTGTCTATCCATATAACCCCGGAGGGCCAGTCACCTTGTAAAAGCAAAGAGCCAAGGGAGGAACAGGGCGGCACCCTAAGCACTGATCCTCTGAGTGGACCACATGCCCTGAACCTGTACGAAGGTGCCAACCTGGAACTCGCGAACAGTACCAGCAGCAGTGCTTACCGATTAAGCTAAGGTACTGTTGGTATTTTACGACGGGAAATTAAACATCTTATAATGCATGACTGAATAAAACGCGGTGTTAAAAAGCAAAAAGACACCGACGGGATTCGATACCGGGCTCCGCGATTCGTGGACGACGGATCTAACCACTCGGCCACCAGGCTTCCTTAGAATTCTCCTCAAAAACAATTTGTCTTAATAATAGGCTGAGAAACCTGGAACATTGCTGTGTGCATCTGTTTTGACTTCATGGACGAACAGAATTGAAGTCGATGTTTCGGGAAGTAATGAGTCAACTGTTTTCATTTGATTGGAAAATTGTATAGGCCAACGGCAGCCTCGTTAGTAGTAGGCCTACACGTGCGCGAAACATACTTATCGTTACGCAACAATGAACACTATTATTATGTAGGCTATTTTGAATTTTGGCTGGTCGGGGGGGGGGGGGGTTCAGGCCCGTAAGATTTCTATATCCAATCTTATCATGTTTGTAATATTTAGCCTATTTTGTGTGTGTCAGAGCGGGGGGGGGGGGGTCCAGCTGGGTGGGGGGAGGGGGTGGGGTTCGAACCCCCTGCGGATCCGCGCCTGACTTCTACTGTTTGTATTTGGAGATATACAGATTCTCAACTCCATCACTGCTATTTCAAGAAAATACGGACCTTTTGAAAAAAAGGAAACGATAATTTGTATTTACAGATTTGTTTGGTAACACTGTTATTCAGGCCTCTATGCCTATTCCGTTCGCTGTTCCCAACAGTCCTTCACCAGGCTGTAATCAAACATTATTTTCCTGAAAAATTAAGTAAACAGTACGTTCTCATCCTTTATTGAAAAAAAAAACCCCAAACCGTAAATATACACGAAAACAACATTACACAAGAACACCACATTACACCAGGGGAGCTGTTCACGATACCGATGTGCCTCCTTTATGATAGCGCTTCGTACGTACCCCCGCCCGGCAAACAGGGCCTAGGGCGCTGGGCCGGGAAGGGCTAGGCTGATGAGCTTCACAGAATCTTGTGAAGGAAGTAGGGATGGCATTCTGGGTAACTTATCATGCCCTATATATATAAAGACATAATTACAGCTGCTGTAGCTTTTTAAAGGGTGCAGGCTAGTCTGGTTCCCTGACCCCATTTTCTTTTGGACTTGAACAATATCTTTAGGTGGGGCCGGTAAACAGCCTAAAATCCCGGCTAAAATGATTGGGACACTTCCTGAGCCTAGCAACAGTCACCCGCTCCCCCGCTCCCCCGGCCAATGTTGTTCTCTCCAGCTGATGGAGCACACACCGCGCAATGAGAGACAACATTGAACGGGGGCCGGGGGAGGGTGGGGGCCCAGCGAGATTCGGCCAGGATTGTAGCCACCGGAGCCCATATTTATTGGGGTTTTTTTTTGGGGGGGGGGGGGGAAACAGTCTAAAGTTTGTGTTACTGTTTCACGCACACCGTACTGCAGCGCCCCACGTGAACAATGTGTTTTCACTATGGCGGTTATGAAACCAAGTTTCACAATTGGCTAAAATTTCCTTTGGTAGCAAAAATAAGCACAACTGTGGTTATAATAACTGCCATGTGGTAAAATCTGCTACAAAATACTTTACCGTTTTCTGGAACTAATCTCTAAAAATTATAGAGATTAGTTCCACAACAAAAGTAGGATGTAAAATTGCTGTCTATGATCGTGTGAAGAAACTTGCTTGGAATTATAAGGATTGCGTATGAATTGTTTGTGAGGAAGTCAATCTGACTGCGGAGGAGTGACTTCATACTTCGGCAACGTATAGGCAGAACGGCATAAGTGAATTACATTGTAACTGGTCCATTTTTAGTATATTTCCCCCCGGATAATTCGATCGTATTGTTTAACTGATTTTCTGAGGACGTTTCGCTATTTATAATGCTGGGTATTGAATTCTTTCAAAATAGCACAATAGATTGCAGGAAAAAGGTAAAATTTAGGTATTGGTGCGAACTGATTCTCGGGAATTGACGGGTAAAGTTAAAGAAAAAAAAAAAAAAAAGCTAAAAGGGGAGATACTTTTTCAGTTAATTTTTGTGACATTTCAATTACCAAAATCACATAGCAGTATTAAATGCATGTACATGTAAAAAGGCTACTAGTGATTGACTCCACACTGAAGGATATCTATGTTTAGAGTATGACTTGTTTAGTGATCGTAAATACCAGTAATTTTATATTGAACATTCGTTATCGACACAATTTAATAAATCATTTAAAGGTCAGTCATTTTTAACTCAAAACTGGGTGGACTCATTGTTCGGAAAGTTAAAAAAATGTATTAAAATTACTCCGAAAATCCAATACTGCAATCGATTTTCTTTCCTTTGGCGGGGGGGGGGGGGTGACACTCTGCCAAAACACTCAGCATATATAAGTGGAATTTTTTTAAAGGAAACTTAAGCCGACCTGCAACGTTGGTCCATTTGTGTGCAATCTCTTTTCGATGTGAGTGGTATTCTGAAAGTGAAACTGATGCATTTATTATTGCACACCAGCCAGATATCATCACACCAGGCTTTACAACGGACATGCTATTGTGTTTTGTGCTTTTCTTCGCGACAAAAACTTAGTAAATGTTTTGATGCTGCCGTTTGTCCCCATTTTGGAAATCACGCGGCCGACAAACAAGAATAATGTGCTTTCACTGATAGGCTAATCTCTTTATCTCAGCACGTAGCTCAAGCCCCCCCCCCCCGCACAAAAGAGCTATATGCCACTTATAGGCTAATCTCTTTATCTCAGCACGTAGCTCAAGCCCCCCCCCCCCCGCACAAAAGAGCTATATGCCGAGCAAAAAATCATTCAAGACCATCTACTCATGTTGACCGCACACGGTGAGTTTTTCGTCTCTCGAGGCCAAAGAAATCAATCAGGATAGATATTTGCCTCACGGCCTCGCGAGGCTTACAACTCAGTAAAAAAGTGAGCTACGTGCTGAGCAAACGGCTTCGGGAGACTGTTTGCTCAGCAGGTAGCTCTCGTTTGCGGCGGGGGCTTTAACACTAAATGAATGCCACAAATATGATGCCCAGCAGTTGGTTGGATCAACTCAATGGAGTTATATTCATAATAGTGCGATACCAAGGGCAAATTCTTTTGCACAGCCGACAGAATGAAGTCCTACCAGACTTGCGGCAATTTGCATGGAAGTGAGGACACCAAATTGGCACCAAAATGGAAAAAAAATACAGGAACTCTTAGTTTATTTGACAAGCGCCCTCTACCCACGTCAAAGACTTTCCATTTCGTTCTGACATCAACGGTGGATCCAGGGGGAGGGGCCAACGGGGGCCATGCCCCCACCCCTCCCCAAAAAAAAAACAAATAGGAACCCGATTTGTGTGTATGTGTGGAGTTTTTTTTGTTCAAGTACGTCGCAAAAAAAGGCTGCCATTGCGTACATAACCCACAAAACTAAAGCAATACATTTGCACCCACTCCCCTTGCTTTTTATATTAAATTTGGGGTGGAAAATTGTTTGGACCTACTTTTTTCGGGACCAAAATGGTTTGCCCCCCCCCCCCCCAAAAAAAAACCCACCAAAAATTGTGTTCTTGATCCTTTCTGACATTAAGGCTTTCAAAAATCCACATGATTCTGGAGCAAGAGTTTGTTTGGGCAAAAAGCCCTTTTGTAATGAGGCACGTATCAACAATCTAGCTCCAATGACAACTTGCTTCTTCAACACCGGGGATTCACAAAAGAGACCCTAAAGTACGCCACCAAGCGTTCGGTCATGGTCACATCCACTCCTCTGCACTCCGTCCTATACCAAAAGGCGCAGGTACTTAGCGGCTAAACCCTTTCACAAACTGAGATGTCGTAAGGTGTTGTAAACAGCGGAAGACCCACGATACGTTTGCGTTTCCTTCACATTTGCAGAAGTGATTGACCGTCACTATAGTCTGGGGAATGGCTATCTGGGAGCTAGCAAAGCACTGCGCGTAAACTGTGCACCTACAATTGCAATTAAATCGCGCCATTTATAGGGCTTTTGACACCTTCTAAGTATTACTCCAATTTTTTCATAATTACTGTGTGTTTGGCACCAGACCTGTGCGTCAAGTATTTTTTTCTTTCACAACGAATCCTTTAATCAGATTTTGATATTGCTTTGCAATAGTGAGAGGCTTCAGAAATTAATAATGTCCCAGTTTAATAATGTCCTTCGGAGCTAATCATTATGCTTCGTTCCGAATTTGTAGTATTACGCACGTGATTGAACACGATGGCGCAAGAATATGACTTTAAGGTAGCAGGTTATTCGGCCTTATTAAAAGCTGGGCCGCGGCTTCACAGCTCGGCAGATAGACGCAAAAAGGAGGCTGAGTTTTTTTAGCAAGAGACAGCGAAGTGCACAGTTAATAAACCACCATGGAGCAGATTCTTTGGCTGCGTATCTTCAAGACCATCGTGGGTATTGTAGGTATCTTGGGCAACGGTCTCGTCTGTCTTGTCATCGGTAAAGTCTCATCGATGCAGACTCGCACCAACGCCTTCATCTTCCACCAAGCTGTGGTGGATCTTCTTGGTTCGTTAACGACGCTTCTGCAGAGTTTGGTCCCGCTACCAGACCCCTTGCCCAGCAACGCTCTCGGGTGGGTAGTGTGCCACATCTGGTTCTCCAACTTTGTAATTTTTCTCCTGTTCATCATATCAACGTTCAACCTATTGTCGTTGACCATGGAGCGGTACTTCGCCATCGTGCACCCATTCAAGTACCAAGCAGCCTTCGCCAAGTACCCAAGACTTAAAGTCGGTGCAGTCATTGCGGCATGCTGGATCATCGCGGTTGTTCTCAAGTCCTACAACCTTACCATCTTTAAGGTGCAAGACGGTAAGTGCGTCTCGAATGCTGCGAATCGCTCTAAAGTCATCGGAAGTTTGACTGCCGTCCTGCAGTACATGGTGCCGGTGGCAGTGATGCTGTTCGCGTACATTCGCATCAGCGTGGAGCTCAAGAGAGGAGCGGATAGGGTGGGACCGGCACCGTCCGTCATCAGCTCAGCTGCCGGAGCATCCAACGCGGGCAACGCCCAACCGGCAGGTATGATGGAGTCCCTACTCCGAGCCAGACGTAACACCTTCAAGATGCTCTGGATCGTCTTCATCACCTTCCTGGTGTGCTGGACCCCAAACCAGACCATCTTTCTCATGTTCAATCTCGGCTGGAAGCTCAACTTCAACGTCGATTGGTACTACCTGCTGTCAGTGGCGATGGTGGCCGCTAATTGCTGCGTCAATCCGGTCATCTACGCCTTCAAGTACCGTCAATTCCGCAAGGGGCTACGCGAGCTATTTTGCAAGCAGCTCATGCACGTTGAGGAAACGTTGAACTCCCTTGTAGTGTGAAAGTTGCACTCTGTATGTAAAATACGGACTCATTAGTTGTACTGCGCATGCTTTAGTGGATTTTGAAAGGTCATGTTTGGTAGTTAGAGTCCATTATAACGTAAAGGAGACCAGATTTTATAGGAGTTTATATTTCATACGACACCGAATCTTCACGCAAAGAACACGATAACTTTTCAACGAACTCGAAGACTCTAACGTGTGGATTTTCTCGTGGTATCAGTCCTACCAGTACAGGCATAAGCCCATTTGATTGGAAAAAAAGAACTGTAAATAATCTCTACATTTTCAAGTCGCAATATCCCTGAAAACTTTCATCGGAACGAACAATAATACACTACACTTTTTTAAACATTCATAGACTCGTTAAAATTGAAAAGGAGGAAAATATATTCCTTACAATTGGATTTCGAGTATTAAACCTTGCTATGATTTGTGCACTCTTTTATCGCGTTTACGTTCACTGTCTTCACTCGGCTGTATAAAGACACGATACCCAATAGCAAAGATTTTCCCCGGTTATTTTAACACTTGTATCAGATATATTAAATCGAATTATACCTTCGTTTCGTCACACAACATGTTTCGTGTGAGTGATAAATTAAAATGTTAAAGTTGCATAGGTAAATGTCATTATATCAGTGTTATTCACGAATGTAGCATTCTAATTCGTCCTAGTTTCGGCAAATCCGTCTCGAGTGGAGATTGGCGTTGTTTTGAAAATAAAAACAAAAAAAGTCATTTTGTTTTTGTAATATCTAGTAGGATAATGCATGTATAATGTCACAAGACGCTCGTTGTGAGCAATAACATAGTCAAACTTTTGTTTTTAATTGAGCAGTGTAGAAATGATAATGATAACAATAGACCATGATCATGTTGCAGCCATTTGATTTTTTCCTATTCAAATCAATGTTACCAAAGCGAGGCTGGAAGGAAAAATAGTCTGGTTCCTTTTTGCGCCAAAAAATCTCATTCAGTACTGTTATTGGATACAGGGAGCATGACTGCAATGGTGGCAGCATGATAAAGGTCTCTTTGACCCGGACTCCGGGTTGTATAGGGTCGAACGCTTTTCCGGGTCAAAATGACACTTTCTAGGTCAAAATGACCCGAAAAATGAGTCGGAGAAGTGTCAGTTTATGTATCATTTGACCCGGAAAAGTGTGGGGCCCAATAGAACCCGGATTCTGGGTCAAATCTGGTACCCGGGCTGGGACTTTACGAGTGTTAATGTTAGTATCATGATCCGTTTCATCCAGGCTCCACATCTGGAATTGTTTTTCTCATGAATGTCAATGTCTGTGGAAAGTTCCCTTTCTCTATGACTGTGGGAACAATATTTCCAGGGGGGGCATAATGAAAACCCCGCCCCTTTTTTTTCTTATATGGTGGCCACGACCTTAAAAGGGTGTGTTCGAAATGGCTCCACATCTGGATTTTTCTTGCTCATGAATATAAACGTCTGTGGGACGTTTTATTCGTTCATGAAATATGGGCACATTTTTTTCCAAAGTGGGCATAATAATTAAACCCCCCTTTTCTTTTAAGGGCTGCCACGCCCCCAAAAAGGTACTTTTGTGGTGGCTCCGAATCTGGAAAACACTAATAATCTTTATAATTATGTCTTTGTAAAGTTTCCTGCTTTTGTAACAAGTGGGAAAAACCGTTTTCACTGCGGGCACGACAAGTCCCGCCCCCTTTTTTAAATGGATGCCACGCCCCTAAAAGGGTAAATTTGCGATGGCTCCACATCTAAAACATTTTCTCGTATGGATATAAACATCTGTGACAAGTTTCACACTTTTATGCAAAAGTGTACAATTTTTTCACATATCCGCTGGACTACTGGCAGAATTGATGAAATGTTGGGGAGCTTGAGAACTCAACGACAAACGAATCATGTACGCAACGTGTATGTTTAACGTTGTAGAAAACCAATACAGGCAGCAGCGCGATAGCTGTTACGGTGCCATGAAGTAAGCATGCAAACAGGCTTTTAATTAAAATTCCTCCCTTTATTGACGCAGTCGTGCTGAGCACACTGGCTTTTAGCAGAGGTGGCGGCGCAGCATTTTAACACTGATTTCTTCCGGCTGAAACTCTCCTTATTAAAGTTTCGAATGTGTAAATTGTGCATAATTTCTCTGAATGCATCCCTAAGGAGTCATTTTTTTGTCATAAGTGATATCCTAGGGAGACACCGGACATTAAGGAGACATTTCAATGACTCCCTTATGTCACAACTCCTCTTTTGAGGCAAAATTTGGGTATTTTAGTTGCTAGATAGATTTCTCATGCACCGAAATGTAAAATTGTGTACAACCCTATGGGAATTCCCCCCCCCCCCCTTTAGGTACCATTCTCCGTCACGCTGGTAATTGTATGTGATTGAGTCTCGTATAGGAGTAGTGCCGACCAGTAAATAAATGTTCATAGGCACTAATCATAAATACCTAACTCAAAATAATAGGAATGTGAATTTTTGTTGAATTATGTAAACGTTTAGAAAATATTTTAAAAACTGTTTAAACGTTAAAATGTTTAACCAATTCACAAAGACTGACGCCTGCCAGTTATGTAGATTTGAACACTTTTTTATGTTGGTAAAAGTTACATTTTGAACAACAAATACATTGTAATAATATTATTAGTAGTGTGTATTCAATGACGAGAAATCGGTCATTTGGGAGACATTCCCATAGACTTGTGCACAATATTTTTCCATCTTTAATGTCACCTTACCCCAATTTTACCTTATCCTACGCCCACGAATTTCGGTATATTTATTACAATTATTTGGATAAGTAATTAATAAATCGGTTAATTACCCATATGTGTAGGGATAATAATGAAGCAAAAGCTTTTAAGGTAAATCCTAAACATACAAAAATAACACAAAACTACTACCAGACATTACGATAATTGCGTTACACGAGAGCAGACAAGGTTTTATCAATATTTGTATAAAAACAATGCCATTAAAGCCATCAATATTGGGGAATCTCTCCATGTTGTACATTATGTGCGTTTAAAAGAAATTGTGCCGGTTTTCTTGTGAAAGAATATATTGTGATAGCCTCCTTCAACGCTACCTTTAAATTGCTCCATACACTGTTAAAAATGCCCGTAAATATACGGACTCCGTAAATGTAAATATTAATTATGCTAATTAGCGTGATTACAATCAACCACATCGGCCCAAACACCTACACATAACACATCTAAGTACATATTGTTATTTCACCCACAACCGTGTACACATGTCCAAACTCATGTTAAAGGTCTGTTTATTTTACGGAATGAAAAAAGTTTTCCGGAAATTTTGCTGCCAGCAAGAAAAAAAGCGTTCCGTTTTCCTGCAGCAAAAGTTCCGGAAGTACAATATGTACTATATTATGTGCAGGTGTTTGGGCCGATGTGGTTGATTGTAATCACGCTTATTAGCATAATGAATATTTGCATTTACGGAAAGCCTCCGTAAAATTACGCCGAAAATACGGAATATTTCACTTTACGGAGTCCGTAACTTTACGGGCATTTTTAACAGTGTAGCAATATGCCATTCGATGTCAGATCATTTGTTGATATTGAGGTACAGTTAAAGTTGATGTAGAAATTACCCTTGGATGCCCCACGAGTCCCGTATGAATATACCAATTAACACAAAGTGAACATATTATTGAAATCTAGAGGTAATTCATGTTTAAACGTAAACATCAATTTACCCAAATTAATTCTGTACAGTTCATTGAATTTCAGTATTTGTAATCCTGCAAATGAGGGAGATTTTTGTAATTATTCTGACGGCTTTCCTTTGTAATAAGAACAGTTTATTACATTGTAAAGTTGCGCCACCCGAAATAAGAATACCATAATTGAAATATGAAAGGACAAAGGAATTGTAACGTGTAACAAGAATAGTACTTGTTAAAAACAACCTCAAAAGGTTCATCACACCAATGTTCTTTAAGATCATACCTAAAACATTTTTTATATATTTGTTCCAAGATAGACTTTCATCAATGTAAAATTCCAAGGAACGTGGTACCTTTGACCTGATTCAAAGCAACTCCATTAAACAACATGGGGTACCACAGTCATACTTATTCTGTCTTGCCCTGGAAATTATATAATTAGTCTTCAAACGATTTATAGATAACTGATATGATGAGAACCAATACCTTATATTTATGAGCCCATATTTAGGTTGTGCATAGTAGTGTTCACGTTTGCGTGATTAAACAGCAGATTTGTATCGTCTGAAAAACAAGGAAAATTGTATCGTATTAGTTTAATTACATTATGTCATTAACGTAAATGAGAAACAATAATGGTCGTAGTACTGAACCTTAAGGTACACCCAAAGAAATTGTTTTATGTTGCGATATTGAGGAATTAACACGACATATTGTTTTACGTATTCCAAGTAACTTCTGAACCAATCCAAGGCAATGCCGCGGACACCAATATGTTCCATTTTGCCAATGAGAATATCTTAGTTACCAAAAGCGTAAGACAACACAGGTAATATTGATATTGGTCTATACAAAATACTGTGTTTACTTTTCGAAAATTTTAGACAACACATGTAATATTGATATGGGTCTAATAGTTACAAATACATGTGCTGTGTTTACTACTTTTTGTATAAAAAGGTTCTGCTATTTTCATGTGGTCAGGGAAAACCCATTTCAGAAAGGAATTGTTGAAAAGCACTCTCAGAGGCTTAGCAAACTTATGCCTTGCTTCTTGATAAGAAACGAGGTTAATCCCTCATGGCCTCGACATTTCCATCAGGACGTTAAGAAATTGCAGTTGCCACTTGTGTTCAGTGACTGGGCTTAGATATGAAGAATGCGGGCACCTGTCAACAAGAAAGGTTTCAAACATAGAGATATATTAAATTTGATATAGCTCTATGGTTTCAAATGACTTGTTGGCTGGTTGTAGTCCACTTCGGGGGCGGATGCAGGATTTTTTTCGGGGGGGGGGGGGTT